TTCAATTAGAAAATCTCTCTCTCTCTAGTAAATATTCTGACAAGTCTTAATTATTATTATCCTTTCTAATTTTTATTCTTTGTTTTTTGAAAGAAGCAATGATTAATGAATAAATAATACATAAGTTGTAATCGCTCTGACAAAGCAACAAGAGTCTAAGAGGAAAAAAAAAATACAGAGAGAACCTGCTCTCAAAAAAACAACACACACCAAAAAAACTAACAAAAAAAAAATACGGGAAAAAGTAAAGATCGCTGTACATGTTCAAACCATAGAGCAAGAAAAAAACAACAATAGAAGTTTAGCACTCGAAGAAAACAAACATATACACACACAAAACAAAGCAAACCAAAGCAAATGATGTATAGATACAATATTATTCAGAAATGTGAGAGAAAAAAAACAAACAAACAAGCTCTTACTATTACACTAAATACTGACAATAATATATCTGAAGAAAAAGAATCATTTTTTTTTTGGAATTCTAAAGAAAATATATTAATTCAAATTTTGAAAAATATTAAACTTACTAATAAATTGAACGACCACAATGTGGACAATATTTGCAACTATTCTTATCATTGCTATAAGAAGAATAGAAATTGGTTTTTTTAATTTTTAAATATCGAGTCATTAAATATCTTACATCACTGGTTCAGTAGTTATTGATTGCCAATTATTATTGATATTTTCATTTTCAATTGACCATTCAACACATGGTGATGAAATTAATGGTGGAAAAAGCATTGACAATGGACTAGATGATGAAGTTGGAGACGTATTCATCCATTCATTTAATCGTGGTTCAGGAGATAAACGCCAAGTAGTTGATGAAGGTGGTGTTAATGGTATCCACATTGGTGCATCAGGTGACAAAGATGATGAAGTTGCTAATAATGGCATAGGACGATTTGTCGAAAGAGCTAAAAATATAATCAAATACATAGATGAAGACTTTTAGTTTTTGTTTTTCAAAATTGATATTTACATCGAAAGGCTGTTCGAGCAGGTGTTTGTGGTGGTGTTGTTAATAATGATGAAGTTGGATGATTTTTAGCGACGGCTAAAGAGACCTTATATAAAGAAAAGATAAATATATATGTCGAAAAATAAAAAAATCTTCATAATATACTGTTATTTTTCGTCCGTCAGCAATTGTACCATTTTTAACTTGCATAGCACGTTCACCATCACGTCGCCGAAGAAATGTAAGAAATCCAAAGCCTTTTGATCCTTGTGCATTTGAAACTACTTCAACATCATCAACTGGACCAAAAATCTATAGAATAAATTAAAATAAAATGAGAAATTTCTTTTTTTATTTAATATGATTTACATCAAATTGTTCTCGTAAATGTTTATCAGACCAACTAAATGGAATATTTCCAATATGAATACGTAATGGACCATCATCTATGATAGATAATTGACGAGACGAATGCATTTTATTATTATTGACACCATTATTGGATATAATTGAACCATTATTAAATTGATGATGAAAAAACTAAAATGAGACAAAAAAAAACGTTGGTGGGTATTTTTTTAAGTTTTTGTCTTGTGCAAAAAATGACCTGCATAATCTATTTTTTTCGAGATTGAATATAACAATGATGAAAATATGAGTGACGGACTAAACGATCTAAAAAGTAATAACGAAATATTGGAATTTTGTCTCTGTCTATAAAAAAAAAATGAAAGTAGATCTATGGTCTATAACCAATGTGTCTCTTCACTAAAATTTCTATACAGAACGGCGAACTGACCGATCGAACATTTAAAATCATTCTTCTTTTCTATTCTTTTTTTCTTTTTTTATGCATTTATTCTTCTTTTCTTCGATGTCTGTGTACACAACGCACATGTTGTCAGTTACGACACTACTATAATATGTGACTGATTGTATGAAAGAATCAACAATACAATAGTAGTCGATTTTGCAAATATATAGGTCGTATATACAACGGACATGAATTTAAATATTCTTCTTTGTTTAGCTATTGGTTATCGAGGTCTGATCAGGTTTTTATGAAAAATCGTTACTCTCGTCTGATAAAATAAAATGAATAAATATTCGAACGTTTTTCTTTATTTTAAGTTTCAGATTAATATAAAATGGCATTTATATGGAATGCAAAAAATAATTTTATTCTTTTACATTTCATTACTCATCATCAACAACAATCATCAACATCAGATATTAATTGGTTATCAATTGTAAATGATATTAGTTTAGAAATTTCTTCAACTCCAACTGTAAAATATTATTCTTATTATTAACATTTTTAAATATCGTCTGTTTTGTCTTTTTTTTCTTCTCTAGTTATTAAAAAGTCAATATGAATATTTATTAGGCAGTTTTTATCCAAAACAAGATTCGTAAGTTCTAAAACAATAATTTCATTTTAGTATTATAATCAAAAAAGAAAAATCATTTAGAAAATCTCTTCATTCAACATTAAAACATGTTTATTTACATTCATTATGTCAAAAAATTGAAGATGATCTACACTTTACACTTGAGGCTGTCTATGAATTAATAAGACATGCACGTTCAAAACGAATTAATCTTCATGATATTGAACAATTGCTTAAAGAATGGAATTTTGAGTAAGAATTTTTTTTATTTCTTTAAATAATTATAATAACAGGGACGTAGCCAGGCGAGATGCCTATGCACCACGTTAACCAAAAAAAACACCTGAAGGAGGGGATGGATAAAAAAATCTTCTTATCAAAATTTTAGTTCTTCATCTGATGATCAGAAAAAAAATAAAGATCGTCTTTTCAATATATTAAATCGTCTTTGTCGTTATATTCATACTCTTTCAAACAATAATAATCAAACAATTCATCATAATATAGTAATATATTTATTTAATATATTTTCTATTTTTATTAAATATATTAATTTAGTCAACATGTTCAAATACGAATGAACAATTGATTGTTCAAAAAGAAATACAAGATAAAGATTTAGAACCAGTATCAGATAATGATGATGATGATGATATTTCAATGGCATATGTTTTTAAAAAAAAACAAAATCAATTGATAAATATCAATAATGATCGAATTGTAATAAATACAATTGAACGAGAAGTTTGTTTGTTTGATTTAAAAATTTCTTAGTGTTCTTTTTGTTTTTTATGTTTAATTAGAAATCTTCTACAACTCGTCGTCGTAGCCAATCGTTAACATTATTTGATGGAAATAAAGATAATAAAATAAATATTGGAGTAGAATGGTTTGTACCAAAATTAAAACGTCAACAGAGATCTTCATCTTTACATACTCGTTGTCAATCACCATTATCGATCGATTCTTTATTAAAAGAAAATCAAAATTTTAAATGTAATAATATATGTATGTTAAATAAATATTTCTATCAGAAAACTTTTATTTCAATTATATAGTTCTAACGACTATAGACAATGATGAATCTTCAAATTCGATGAGTAATTTAAATGTTCGACAAACACATACACAACCAAGTATTTCTTGGTTGCCACTTACAAATGAACAAGTTTGTATCTTTTTTTTTGCATAAATATTCTTTTTTTATATTTGATTTTGAAAATAGATTGCAGAAAAAGAACATCGACAAAAAGAATCAAGATTATTAGTTGAATATGGACAATGTGTAAATTTAGTTATTTGTTATTTTTGTTTAAAAATTTTTTTTTTTTCTTATAATTTAGGATCAGATATCTTCAGATTCCGGATCAACAGAAGTTCAAGTATCATATCAACAAGAACATAATTCTTGTAAACGACAACGTCGTTCTTAAAAAATTAAAGCAAATCAAATATTTCTGTGTATAATTTAATATTTATCTCAGACTTTCTTAGATTTTTCATGGCTTTCTTTTTCTTTTTCAATTATACTCGTTTGAGTTTCTTTCTATGAAATATCAGAATAATAATCCATCTTATCATGTTGAAGTTTTTTTTTTTTTTTGTAAAGATAGTATCATCTCACGAATTGAATAATTTCTTTAACTTAATAAATTTAGATTCAGTTATTAAATTGTGATATTTAAAAATATCAAAGATTGATAATATTATATGAACGCTAGAGTGTTTACACATTGGTGAATGATTATTTTTAAAATTCTAATATTCGAATAAGATTATACCTTTTAGGATATCATATGAGGTTTATCGATTGATCATATTTATTCATTTAGTTATTATTATTCTAATGTCTGAATGTTGATCTTGAAGCATTTAACTAAATTAGTTTTTAAAACTTAAAAAAAATGGGAATATAATTGTGTTATTGTTTGTGAAATCAATATATTCTTTTCTCTTCTTAGCATGATTTCTCCTGTCTTGTTCTATAGATACATAGAACAGTCAAAAAAGTTCTGAGAACTAATAACATCACTTTAATAAGAAGTATAGTTAGATTTATTTATCTACAGCAAAAGTTAGAAGACATCATAACA